CCTGGCATAGACCTCCACAAACAGCGAAGGGAACAGCAACACCGGTAGATCCTCCAGGGCAGAGATGGCCAGGGCCTGATTGCTTAGCAGGCTCTGCATGGCCAGATACTGGAGCGAGGGTGGGGTCCTGTGGCTCATCTTCACGGCCAGAAGTTGAGCAGATGTGGACCAGGTGTGCAGGACTCTCTGAATCCCAGCAGGGCCAGGCACTCAAGGCAGACTCCAGGCCTCTGCTCTTTTCTGGCCCTTTGGCATCTTTATACCCCAGTCCCACCCTCCCCTCTGTGTATCTACCAATGGGAGAGTAGATTCTGATGGGATTTCTGAGTAACACCCACCACACCCTGTCTGGGTGTAACCATCTAGATTAATTTAAACAGAGATTCTACCCAGACTGATAGGATTATAGGCAGGACATACTGGGCCCAGCTTCCATTTCAAATATGTAACACACACACACACACACACACACACATATTTCCTGTGCTAATTTTTTTATCCCTTTGAGAAATTTCCACAGATATTTCACTGCCTTGAGCATGCAAAAGTTCCAAGAACATCAGCCAGCCCAATCTTATAGCATGCACAAACACTTCTCTAGAAAATTATTTCCCTCCTTCCCTTCCTCCCTTCCTTCCTTCCTTCCTTCCTTTTGCCTTCATTCTTTCTTTCCTTCCTTTGTTCCTTCCTTCATTCCTTCATTCATTCATTTGTTCGTTCCTTCCTTCCTTTGTATCTTTTTTTTATTGTTCATCTCACAACTTGAATTGAGGGCATGGCCAGTGTCCTTGAGCTTCTTTTTCTCAATGCTTTTGCTCCAACATTTGAACCACAATAGTATTTTCCTCTTTTTTCTGTGAAGTTTATTGAAGATAGGAATCTAAGTCATGGCAGAGATATGGCTGTTTATCAGAAAACCAGAGAAATACAGTGAGAAATGTCAAGGCAGAGTCCCTAAAAAGGTGGATATCATGGCAGGATTACCAAACACTTCTCAGTCCTCACTCTCAATGTTAATAGACTTAACTCTTTAATTCAATGACATAGATTCACTAGTAGGATAAAAGAGCAAAATCTACCCATGTGCAAGACACATCTTGCCAAGAAAAACAAACATTTTGAATGTGAAAGACTGGAATAAATCTTTTCAAGAAAATTGCTCCCATATACAGGTTGGAGTAGCAATAATAATATCAGAAAAATAGATTTCAATTTAAAATTAGAAGAGACAAAGGGCATTACAAACTAATAAAGGGATCTCTTCTAGAAGTTTCTAACAATTCTAAATATCTATTCACCAATACCAGAGCACCCAACTTCATCAAACTAAAACTACAGGACCTAAAAAACCCCATAGAATCAAAAATAGTAATTGTTGGTGATTTTAACACACCACTGTTGCACTGGATAAATGAGCCCATAAAGTCTAACAGAAAAACCTCAGAACTAAATCCCCTAAATATCTGCATTGACTGACTAGACTTCACAGACATCTACATAATATTTGTCCAGGCATCATCAGAATACATATTTTTCTGAGAAGCACATGGAATATTTTCCAAAACAAATAACATGTACGTCTGTGCAGAAAGTTTGCACAAGTTCTGAAATATTAAAATTTTTCCCAGCATTCTGTCAGACCACATGCTGTATTACTATAGTTCAATATAAACAGTCATCGTGGGCTGGGAAGGTGGCTCAGTGGTAGAGCACTTACCTTGCATGCATGAGGCCCTGGGTTCCATTCCTCTGCACCACATAAGCAGAAAAAAGCCATCAGTAGCTCTGTGGCTCAAGTGGTAGGGTGCTAGCCTTGAGCTGAAGAGGTGAGGGACGGCGCCCAGGCCCAGAGTTCACCCCACCATTATTGACCAAACACACACACACACACACACACACACACACACACACACACACAGACACTCACACACCAACCAGTCATCATAAAATCTCTATAACTCATGGAGACTGAATCATATATTGTTGCAGAAGAAGTTCATTGAAAAGATCAGAATGGAAGTAGAAACACAGGATGGAAGAAAGACAGCCTGTGCCACAAATAGTGCTGGCAGTATTGGCTATCCACATGCAGAAAACTGAAGTTAGATCCTTCCATAACACATCGCACAAGAGTCAGTTCCCATTAGATCAAAGATGTCAATGGAACACCAGACCCCCTGGAAATATTACTGGAAGGGATAGGAGAAGCAGGAAGGCTCCTTGGTATAGGCCAAAACTCCTAAATAAAGACCCAGAATCACCACAAGTTAAATAATAACTAGATGAATGGAACTGAAAAAACTGAAGAGCTTCTGCACGGCAAAGGACACAGTAGCAAGACAAATAGCCCACAGAATGGGATAAGATCTTTACTTGCATTTCATCTGACTAGTGCCTCCTATCTAAAATGTAAGTACAGCTAAACAAATTAAGCCTACCAAAAACAAAACCTCAAAGAAATGACTAGCCAGCAGAGATTTAAAGAGCTATTTCTATGAAAAAAAACATGAATGGCCCATAGACACATGAAGAGATGTTCCACATTCCTAGCTATGAAAGGAATACAAATCAAATCAACATTGAGATTCTACCTCATCCCAATTAGAATGGCTATTATCAAAAAACAAACAAAAAAACCATCCAAAAATCCCTAACAATAAAAGATGATGTTGGTGGGGAATGTAGACTTGTGTAACTACTAAGGAAGTCAGTATGGAGGTTCCCCAACTAACCAGCCATAAAACTTCATTCTTATGCAAATGGACCAAACCAGGCCACATTAAAACAGCACAACCCTGATCTCTGCAGCACTGATACCCTAGCTAAGGTATGGAGCCAACCCAGTTGCCCCTCAGTGGATAAATTAATGAGGAAAATATGGTATATATATCCCATGGAACTTTATGCTTCCATCAGAAAGAATGTTATTTTCCTACTCTTGTGGAAATGGAAGACTTTGAGAAAATTACACTAAGTAAAGTAAGCCAAACCCAAAGAAACAGAATGCACAGTTTCCCTCATTTGTTATCATTCAAATGTGCCTATAAATCTACGGTAAATCCAAAGGATAGTAAAAGACTTGGACATGATTAATCAAACAGCCTTGTAAATACTCACACAGTGAGAAGAAAGGAGGATATGCTTAGAAAAGGATCACAAGGGTTCAATTTGCATGATGGGATCATATAAAATGATGCTAATCAAAATGAACTCTAAGAAATGGAAGCTAGCCCGATTTTCTTGCCTCTCTGTTCCTTTTATTTCATTTTTCTTTCTTTTTTGCCTCTTTTCATTGTTTTTTATTTCTGTGCCTTTGTCTTGTATGCACATTTATCTCATTTGGGAGAGGATGGGGAAACATGGAAATGGTGGGAAATGAACTTTACACTTTGGAGGGGAGGTCAGTGGGAAGGAGAAAAAGTGGAAGGAATGAAGGACACCGTTTTGAAGGAAATGTACTCAAATTGTAATCCTTCTTGTATATCATCTTCACAATTAAATTTATAGGTTAACAGAAAGCTTCTCAATGACTTTCTGGTCAGACTGGCTTTGAACTGCCATCCTGACATCTAGTCTTCCTGACTAAGAGAATTAAAGGTGTGAACCACCAAAGTCCTGTGTAAGTCAATATTCTTTCTTTTTCCCTCCCTCCCTCCCTCCCTCCCTCCCCCACCCTCCCTGTCTCCCTCCCTTCGTCCCTCCCGAACTTCCTTCATTCCTCCCTCCCTCCGTCCCTCCCACACCCTTCCTCTCCTTTCTTTCCTTCCTGCCTTCCTTCTTTTTGGTGTGCTAGGTGAACAGGAGGTGAATATTTTTTATACTCATGTTTCATCAAATCGCCGTGACTACGTTTAACTACTGAGAATTCTCCTCCAAGAGTACACATGAGCTTAAGAAACAGATTTAATGTTCTCACGAGGGAGCATTCAGTATTTGATGGCAATTCCCCTACACAACATCTTTTCAGCAAAATTAGATCTATGTATGTTGGACCTTGATGCTGGCTTGTTTCAGGTTTTTTGTGCCAGTTGTGATTATCTGTTAAAATCTTAGAAAAAGAGAGGGCCTCTTTGTCTTGTCACTCAAAGGAAAATTAGCTGCTGCTGTCCAGTGTATCACACTTGTAGTCATACACACTCAGGAGGCTGAACTCTGAGGTTCATGATTCAAAGCCAGTAACACAGATGAGTCCAAGGGACTCTTGTCTCCAGTAAATCCACCAAGAAACAGAAGTGGAGCTGTGGCTTGATTGGTAGGCCATCAGCCCTGAGGGAAAAAGCCAAGTCAAAACAAGAGGCCCTGAGTACCTTCATATAAGGAGAGAGACAGGGAGGGAGGGTGGGGAGACAGAGAAAGAAGAGAGAGAGAGGAGAGAGAGGGAGGGAGGGAAGAAGGATGGAGGGTGACATAAGAGAAGGCAGACAGGAAGGAAGGAAGTGAAGAAAGGAGGATGGAAAGGAAAGAAAGAAAAAAGGGAAGAAGACAGAATAAAAAGAAGGAAGGAGGGAAGGAGGGAAAGAAGAAAGGGAAAGAAATAAGGAAATTTGTAGAACTCGTTGTGAATGCTATAAGGTTGGACTGAGTGATTTTCTTTGAGCCTTTTGCTGGCTCAGGGCAGAGTAATATTGGTGGAAATGTCTGGAGGGAACAAGATATAAGGGAGGGAAGTCTCTGTGTCCATTTTATTTCAGATTTGAAAGAGAAGCTTGACTGAGTGGGTCCAGTCTATAATGCCATTGGTTTTGTCCCGGAATCCCAGTTTGAATTAATCTGGAAGGTGGCACCTTTCAAGGTGTGCTGGGTGTGTCTCATAAATCCCATCAGAGGCTGCTCTCTGATTAGTGGATCTGCAGTGCTGAGGGTGGGGTTGGATTATAAAGATGCCCAGGGTCCAGTAAAGAGCAGAGTACTCTGGAGTCTGCAGTGGGTGCCTGGCCGTGCTGGGAGGCAGAGAGCCCCTCACAACTGGCCTACTTCTGATCCACATCTCATCCATCAAGATGAGCCTCAGGAACCCACCCTCGTTCCAGCATCTGGCCATGCAAAGCCTACTGAGCAACCCATCCTGGGCCATCTCTGCCATGGAGACTCTGCCGGTACTGATCTTCCCTTCACTCTTCATGGAGGTCTATGCCAGGGCCCACACAGAGGTGCTGAAGGCCCTGGTCCAGGCCTGGCCCTTCCACTGCCTCCCCCTGGGGGACCTGGAAGAGTCTCCAGACCTGGAAACCTTCAAGGCTGTCCTGGATGGGCTCGACCTGCTACTGGCCAAGAAGGAGCGCCCCAGTCGGTGGAAACTGCAAGTGCTCAGTCTGCGGAAGGAGCACCCCAACATCTGGACATGGGGGTACCCTTCGATGGCCCGTATCTCTTCTCCAGACATCCTGACTGACAAGCCAACGGAGAGCCACTGCTCAGGGATGACTAAAGAGCAACCCTTGATGATCACCATGGATCTGACCATCAAAGATGGCACCCAGGATGCTCTGCAAGCCCACCTGCTCCACTGGGCAAGGGAGAGGAGAGAAAGAGTTCAGCTGTGCTCCAGGAAGCTGCAGATTTGGTCTGACTCCATCTCTGAAATCCAGAAGGCTTTGCATGTGGTGAGGCTGGACTCCATCCAGGAACTGGTGGTGAGTGAATTCTGGAATCGAGAGACTATGAAGATCTTTGCCCCTTATCTCAGCCAGATGAAGAACCTTCACCTCCTGAAGCTCTCCAAGATGCGTGCCGACTTCTACACTGCCAGCCAAAAGAACTCTTGGTATTCCTGGAAAATTGGGGCCCATCTGGGCCAGCTGCAGCATCTCCGGGAGCTTCATGTGCACGAAGTCCTCTTCCTTTATGGAAAGCTGCCCGCCATCCTCAGGAGCCTGAGGCCTTTGAAGGCCTTGTCTCTGAGCGCCTGTGCACTGCAGGACGACGACCTGAGGTGTCTGTCCCAGGCTCCCTGCACCAGGCAGCTCCAGCACCTGCAACTGACCAGTTTGTTCATGGATAACTCCAGTCCTGAGTCCCTGCGAGACCTGCTGGAGCATGTGGCCAGCACCCTGGAGACCCTGGCCCTGGAGGACTGTGCCTTCACGGATGCCCATCTCTCGGCCATCCTGCCAGGCCTGAGCCAGTGTTCCCAGCTCCTCGTCTTCAGTGTTTATGGGAACCACATCTCCATGGCTGCCCTGTACAACCTCCTGAGCCTCACTGCCAGGTTGGGCCACTTAAGCCGAGGTCTCTATCCTGCCCCTCTGGAGAGCTACCGCCCTCAGGAGTGGGGGCTAGGGAACATCGACCCTGAGAGACTTGCCCTGGTTCTGGCAAGCTTGGGGCAGGTATTGAGAGACCTGGGGCCAACCCAGAGGGTCCAAATCTGTACTGATTTCTGTCACCACCAGAACAAGTGCCAGTTCTACAGCCTGGGCCCGGATGGTTCCTGGGTGCTCACAGAGGAGGGGCTTCCCAGCCTTTCTGCTCTGTCTGTGTAGTCGGGCTCCTCTCTTCTGGAATCTCTTCTCAGCATCAGAATAAAAGCCAGGACATAAGAGCATTCTCCAGGGCCACAAACCCAAATGTTCAGCGTGGGTGGAAGAGACAGGGCTTATTGAGCAACCTGAGCAACTCCCTTTTTACTTAAGACCCCAGCTCAGTTCTGCAACTTAGCCCTTGACCTAAGCCAGCCACAGACAGTCCTGGGAACCCTGGATGCCAGGATCTCGAAGTATCTGAAATAGCCTTGCACAGACTATCCTGGGAACCAGAGATGCTAGGATGTCAAGGTCTGGTGACCATTCTCTGAACTGGACACTCTGCAGTTTAGCACGCATCCTATTGAAGACTCTCCTGTGCAAGCCGACCAGTGTAAATTACGTCAGCCCCCTAGATCTAACCAACAACCGGTTTCTGGTCCTTTCTCTCTGTGTAGTACGCCAATCATACTATGGAGTTGTTTTATGATTTTCCCGTGGTGTGTAGTGATTTGTTCCCAGATGCTATGATGTAGGCAAAGCCCCTGCCTTCCCTAAAAAGTGTACAACAGGTGCTGTAACCCTGGGCTTGGGGCCTCTCAGCATTGTCGGCTGCTGACTTGTACACAGCGGGAGGGGGGAAAGTTGTTGAGAGGGGGAGGGGAATAGGGAGACCAAGCTTCAGTTTGCAATAAAGACTCCTTTGCTTTTACATTGGTGATGGTCTCTGGTGGTCTTTTGGGTAAGGATTTCCGAATCCAGCTTTACCTCATGATCCTGAGATTTTCAGGTCAACTGTAGCTCTGGAGCCCCAGGTGATTCTGAGTACTTTCGGGGTACATGTGTCCTGTGCACCCACCATCAGAAATCTCAAATGAATTCTGCCTAGAAAGAACTCAAATACAATCTTGTCTTTCTAAATCATTGTAAGCAAACCTCTGACTGTGTACAGTTTTCTATGTCTACCCATCAATTAATTCATTTCCAAAGAAAAGAGAACAGTAAGCAGAAGGATGTCATTTCTCAGAATCCAAAAATCAGAGTACTGCTTCTGCCCAGAATTCTAGCTCCTGAACCACTTAGAAATCTGAGAATCACAGTTCAAAGACAGCCTGGTCAGGAAAGTCCATGAGACTCTTATCTCTAGTGAACCACCAGAAAACCAGAAGTGGAGCTGTGGGTCAATGTGGTAGAGTCCTGGCCTTGAGCAAAAGAACTCATCATTCAAAGTCAAGATCAGTAACAACAACCCAAAGAGATTAAGTCACCCCTCAGGCTCAGGCTGGTGGCTCACACCTGTAATTATAACTAGTCTGGAGATCACAATCTGAGGATCACAGTTCACCTTCAATCTGGGCAAGAGCCTCTTAGACTCTTATCTCCAATTAGCCACCAAAAGCTGGAAGTGGAATCTGTGGGTCATGTGGTAGATTGCCAGCTTTGAATGGAAAGAGCTGGGGGACAGACAGTGCCAGACCATGAGTTCAAATCCCACTAGAGCACACACACACAGACACACACACACACACACAGACACACACACACACACACACACACACACACTGAAAGAACAAAGAAGAGAAAACCAGAAAGCATGAAAAGTAGAAATAATCTTGCCTTCTTAGAGACTGAAAGCATTTTTTTGAATGAATAAATAAAATAACTGAATTAATGAATATGTGTGTCCTGCTATGTGGATGATACTTACAAAGAGCAGTCAAATGCCCTTTTTATCTTCCAAATCTGATGCTGAACCGCAGGGTTGGTGATATCAGCTGGGCCCAGCATGTAGTGAACACAACAGGTTGAGACCTTAGAAAGAGAGAGGGCCTCTGTCCTGTCCTACAAAAGAAACTAGCTGCTGGCGCCTAGTGTGTCACTCCTGTAATCCCAGGCAAAGAGGAGGCTGAGCTCTGAGGTTCATGGTGTTGCTGTTCCCTTCGCTGTTCATGGAGGTCTATGCCAGGGCCCACACAGAGATGCTGAAGGCCCTGGTGCAGGCCTGGCCCTTCTCCTGCCTCCCCCTGGGGGACCTGGCAGAGTCTCCAGACCTGGAAACCTTCAAGGCTGTCCTGAATGGGCTCGTTCTGCTACTGGCCAAGAAGGAGCACCCCAGTCGGTGGAAACTGCAAGTCCTCAACCTGATGAATGAGCACCCCAACATCTGGATAAAAGGCTACCCTTCAATGGCCCGAATCTCTTATCCAGATGTCCTGACTGACAGGCCAACAGAGAGCTGTGGTTCAATGATGACTGTAGAGCAGCCCTTGATTTTACTCATGGACCTGACCATCAAACATGGCACCCAGGATGCTCTCCAAGGCCACCTGCTCCAGTGGGCCAGGGTGAGGGGAGAACAAGTCCAGCTGTGCTCCAGGAAGCTGCAGATTCTGTCTGGCTCCATCTATAAAATCCAGAAGGCTCTGTGTGTGGTGAGACTGGACTCCATCCAGGAGCTGGTGGTGAGTAAATTCCCATGTCAAGAACTTCTGAAAACATTTGCCCCTTACCTGGGTCAGATGAAGAACCTTCACATCCTCACCTTCTCCAAGATGTGTTGCAGCTTCTTCACTTCCAGCTCCAGGAATGGCTGGTGTTCCTGCAAATTTGGGGCACAGCTGGGGCAGCTGCAGCATCTGCAGGAGCTTTATGTACACGATGTCTGCTTCCACTATGAACAGCCGCCCTCCATCTTCAGGACACTGACGTCCTTAAAGACCTTGTCTCTGAGTTCGTGTCTGCTGAGCGAAGGTAACCTGAGGTTCCTGTTCCAGTGTCCCTGCACCAAGCAGCTCAAGCACCTGCGTCTGAGGAGCCTGTCCACGGTCTGCTTCAGTCTTGAGACCCTGCTAGACCTGCTGCAAGGAGTGGCCGGCACCCTGGAGACCCTGGCCCTGGAGGACTTAGCCTTCACGGATGTCCAGCTCTCGGCCATGCTGCCAGCCCTGAGCCAGTGTTCCCAGCTCAGGTTCTTCAGCTTCTATGGAAACCACATCTCCATGGCCACCCTGCAGATCCTCCTGAGCCCTCGGCCCAGATGGGCCATTTGAGATGAGGGCTCTATCCTGCCCCTCTGGAGAGCTACTACCCTCAAAATCAGTGGCCATGGGACATCCACCTGGAGAGATTTGCCCAGGTTCTTGCTGTCTTGGCACAGACTTTGAGGGACATGGGACCAGGCCATAAAGTCCAGATCTGTACCAAATTCAGTCATTACCTGAACAAGTACCGATTCTATACCCTGGAGTCAAATGGCTCCTGGCTGCTCACAGAAGAGCATCTTTCTGGCCTTTCTACTCTGTCTTTGTAGTTGTGCACCTCTCTCCTAGAATTGCTTCCTAGCAGCAGAAATGAACGCCAGGAAGAGCATTCTCCAGGGGGCACAGACCCCCGTGTTCAGTGTGGATGGAAGAGACAGGGCATCTGGTCCTGAGTTTGTCAGTTCAATTGTAACTCTGGAACCCCAGGAGTTTGTGAGTGCTTTGGGGTTCCATGTGTCCTGTGCACACAGCAGCAGGAATCTGGAGTCAATTCTGCCTGGAAAGAACTGGATCATGATTTTGTTTTTCTGAATGGTTGTAAGAAAACCCCTAAGTTGTGGAATAATCCCTTACCATCTATAATTTTCTGTATCGATCAAAAATAAAAACATGAAAAAGCATGAGTAGAAAGATATCATTTTTCAGCACCAAAGAATGAGGAGTGTGCATACCTAGAACCTTAACTCTGCAAGTCGGAGATCTGAGCGTTTCCATACATAGGCAGCCTGGGCACAGATATCTTTGAGACTCTTATCTCTAGTGAACCTCCAAAAGTGGCCAGAAGTGGAGCTGTGGCTCAAGTAGTAGAGTTCTGGCATTGTGAACCAAAGCTCAGAGACAGCACCTAGATGCAAGAACTGGCACAAATACACAAACAAATAAACCCTTACCAGAGGTCTACAATGGGGATTAAAAAGAAATTTGCAAGAAAGGAAGGGAGGGAGGGATATAGGGAGGGGAGGGAGGGAGGGAGGGAAGGAAGGAAGGCTGAAGAAGAATAGGAAGGGATTCAGAGAGGGAAAAAACTCCAGAGAAAAGATTTCCTGCAGGCTTTGTGGATGTTATCAATTCGGATGACTTCTCTCCTTGCATGCTTTGCAGTGGAACCTCTGTGGGAATGTCTGGAGGGATTAAGGAATAAAAGTGGAGGTCATTTTGATAAAGTGTGATTTACAATACAGAGAGAAGCTGGGCTGTGTGGGACAGGTCTTTAAACCTATCCCTTTTTGGTTAAAATCAATATTTGAATTAATCTCAAGTGCAAAAGCCAACCAAGGTGTGTATGGTGTGTCTCAAAAATTCCATCAGAAGCTGCTCTCTCATTGGCAGGTATGCAATGGTGAGGCTGGGGTTGGGCGTGAAGGATTTCTAGGGATCAGAGAACAGAAGAAGAATTCTGGATTGCACAGTGAGTGCCTGGCCCTGTTGGGACTCAGAGAGCCCTGCACACTGGCCCACATCTGGTCCATCAAGATGAGCATTGGAGCCCCACCCTCGCTCCAGCATCTAGCCATGCAGAGTCTGCTGAGCAACCAGGCCCTGGCCATCTTTGCTGTAGACGATCTTCCTCTGCTGCTGTTCCCTTCGCTGTTCATAGAGATCTATGCCTAGGGCCACACAGAGGTTCTTAAGGACCTGGGGCAGGCCTGGCCCTTCCCCTGCCTCCCCCTGAGGGATCTGGCAGAGTCTCCCAACCTGAAGACCTTGAAAGATGTCCTGGATGGGCTGGATCTGCTACTTGCCAAGAAGGAGCTCCCAGGTGATGTAAACTACAAGTTATCAATCTGTGGAGATATGGACATGGGGGCACGCCTCCATGCCCGCATCGCTCCTCCAGATGTTCTGACTGACAGGTGAGCTGTAAATCACTGCTCAGCAAAGACTGCAGAGAAACCCTTGGTGAAAATTATGCATCTGCTCATTGAAGATGGCGCCGAGGATGCTCTCCAAACCGACCTGCTAAACTGGGCCAGGGAGAGG